GGTCCCCTGACACCCGTTTGCGGAGGTCTTCTCCGGAGCGCCCGCGCGGGGTGGTCGGCGGACTCGGCCTCGGGACCTGGTGGCGCCGGGTCCCGAGTGGGCGAGGGGTGTGGGAGGAGGTTTGCAGGTCCTTAAAAAAGACGCCCTCTTCTTCCTTGCACCCGCGCCCAGACACTAGGGTCTCGATCCCGGAGTCCAGCACGGGAGATCTCGCCCTCCTAGGCCCTGGACGGGGCGGGGATCGGCACGCTAAATTGGGTGACCCAGAGCACAGGACAAGGGCCCTCTGCGCAGACAGCGTGTCTTGGGAACACGTGGCACAGTGCAGGAGCAGAGCTGGGGGCCTTTGACCAAAGTGGAGACCCGGAGAGGGGCACGTGTCCAGGTGGGATCGGGATGAGCAAGGGTTCGAAGAGGCGCAGGTTCTTCCCGGGAGCGTCAGAGGGATGGGTTTGGAGGGGCTGGGAGCCTTCTCCCCCGCACAGCCTGGGGGTGCTGTCTGTAGCCGAGCGGAGCCGCGGGTGTCTTCTAGGCTTAGTCCTGTTCGTTAGATGCTCTCGTTTTTACTCCCTTTGGGGGAAGGAGAGGGGTGACCTGTCCAGAGCCACACCGCAGGTGCCACATTGCTGGACCGGGTTTCCGTCCCATCAGCCTCAAGTGGAATTCCTGCCTCACACTGCCCGGGAGTCCAGGGTTGGAGGGTGGGCCAGAAGGGTGAGAGCACAGGCCCTGTTGGGAGTGGGCAGGGGTGGGAAGAGACCCTTAGGTGTGAGTGTGTGGGGGCAGGACAAGGGGCAGGTTAAAGGACAGGCAGTGGAAGAGGGGAGCCCCCAGCCTCAGTCGCCAGACTGGGAGAAGAGTGCCCGGCTGTGAGATGGGGGTACCCCTGGGCAGCTCAGGGGGCTTCCAAGTGGTCCTTTCATACCTGGTGGGTTGGGGGCCTGAGGGACTGCCTGAGGTCCTGAAGCCCACAGAAATTAGTACCTCCATGGAAAGGAAAGCCCCCCTGCTATGTTAAAACATTATTCCTTGTTATCTGAAATTCAAATTTGACAGGGCATCCTGCATTTTTATTTCCTAAATCTAACAACTGCAGCTTAGAATCCTGCAAACAGACCCAACACCTGGCCCTCAGGCCAGCAGAGGGGCAGCAGACCCCTGGCTCCTGCAAGAGGGCCCTTCCTTTGCATAACTGTGCCCCCCCGCAATGAGATCTGGGTTCAGGTTGGCTCGGGTAGAGCCTGTTCTGGCCACCCCTCTGGGCCTGCCTGGATCTGAGGCCAGCCCCTCCTAGCCTTGGACCCTACTCTTAATCCCTGTGAGCCTTGGTAATTCCTGGCTGCAAAGTGGGGATCTAAGTGCCTCTCAGAGGCTGCATGAATATGAACCACAGGGCCTTTGCCCTGCTGGTCTCTCAGGCCTAGGAGGCTTACCCCTCAAAGCCCTTCATGGCCCCTCCCTGCCCTTAGCTAGGCATCTTCCCAGCACCCCCAGGACTTCTCCAGAGTGGTGTCCAGTGAGTGCACATAGCCATGGCATGGTGACATCTGCTGGACCCCCAGCCCCGATTCCTCCTCGGCTTCTGTCTAGCATGGCCTCCCAGCCTGGCCCCAAGCCTGCCTTGTGTGGCTAGCAGGACCAAGAGGTTGTGGAGAGCAAAGAGGGTCAGTATGTGGGGGGCCTGCCCAGCTAGCATGGCTGGAGAGCAGGGAGGGATCAAGAGAGGCCAGTCCGCTCCCTGAAGACTTAGACTCAGGTCCCACCTGCCAAGCCACCGGAGGCCCAGGACGCCCTCCCAGCCACAGTGCCATGGTCTCGGGCACAGCAGTGGCAGGAGGCAGTCACAGAGTCCCCATGGGGATGGCACTGTGGGCAGAGCCTGTCCAGACCAGGGCCTCCATCTGGCCTGGGAGCTGCCCGAGGCCCAGCCTGCAGCTGCTGCTGAGACCTGGCAGCCTGAGCCCTCAATCCTTCGAGGGCTGCCAGCCGTGGAAGGTGACAGGGCACGAGGCAGGGGCCGGTGCGGCAGTTTCTGCTAGGAACATCTGGCTCCAAGCAGCAACCAGGCTGGCCCAAGGCTGGCTCTGAGGGCTGGGTCATCTCCTTGCCACTGTCAGGGGCTGCAGGGCTGCTGAGGGGAGAGGCTCTGGTTCTTCCCGGGAGGCTAGAGAAGAGGAGGGTGTCCTTCACACCGGGAGATCCTTCCTGGGGGGCTGGTGCATACAGAAGGAAGCCGGGACTGGGTTCTGCCTGGGTGCTGGGCCACAGCAGGCGTAGGTATTTGTAGTCACCCGACAGGGACGCCTCTGGGGCCCGGCCAGAAAGTAGCGGGCACCGCTGTGCCTTCCACAAGAGGGCGCCCTGCTGGCTCAGTGGCCCGTGGCTGGCTGCCCTGTTAGTGGGACAGCCCCAGGGGCCAGGGGTGGGAGGCAAGGGAAGGTTGCCTGGGTGAGGGGTGGACAGGCATCTGATGCTGTGATGGGGCAGCACCTCGGCTGGGTGGGTCGTGTGAGCTGGGACGACCCCCGTACGGAGGGTGCCCTATACCCGTGCAGTACTCAGGGAGGGTCCTTTTTCTGGTCAGCCCCAGGAGGAAAGGGGAGCCCCATTGCAGCTGCAGACTCCATCCTGAGTGTTTCACCCAGCACCCAGTCCCAGCTGAACTCTGACCTTTGGATGAAAAAGGAAAAAAATTACTCCCCCCGCCCCCCCAATATCGGCGTCTTTTCCCTGAAGGGTTGATATCCCCGGGGGCCTTTTGGTGGAGGCAGGGCGGTGAGGAGCCCACGGCGGGGGGAGGGGGGGAAGGGATAGGTGGGGGGCCCTGCGGCCTTTGTGCAAAACTCAGGAGGCGCCCTGGGGGCGCCCTGCAGACAGGGTGTCCGCCCACCTGAGTCCAGCCAGGAGGGTCCCCCACTGTGAGTACCCGCTTCCTTCTCCGGGCGTCCGAACCAGCTCAGGCGGGACCCAGGCCAGGTGTGTCCTTCTGTCACCTGTTAAGTCCTCTGCCGGCGTTTGTGACCGAGTCCCCCCAAGGGCTTCCTTCTGTCCTTTGGGGACACCCGTGGCCAGCCACTCCCTGCCCCAGCGCGAGGGCACAGCACACGAGCTACCGCCCCCGCCCCAGCAGGTCTCGGGCCTCTGCTAGCGGGGCCGGGAGCAGTAGGCCGGAGGGTGCGGGGTCGCCCTGCAGGCGGGGGCCCCAGGCCGGGGAG